ACACACACACACAGACACACACACACACACACACAGACACACACACACACACACACACACACACACAGACACCAGCAGGCAAATCGACATGAAAACGTGTTTATCATCATTAGTCATCAGCAAGATGAAAGTTAAAAGCACAACGAGATACCACTACACACCCACTAGAATGGCTAAAAATAAAAAGACTCACATCAAAGTGTTGTGAGGATGCAGAGCAACTAAATTCTCAAAATCGAGGCTGGGAATGGCATCACGAACCACCATGGAAAAAGGCTTGGGTGCTTCTTATAAAACTAATCACACACCTACCCTTTAATTCAACAATTCCACTCCTAGATATTTACCCAAGAGAAATGAACATATCATTCATAATGCAACTTTTGAATGGGTAAACAAATTATAGTATTTGAACAAATGATAGTATTTGATACTACACTGAGGTATACTGAAATATACCTCCGTAATTAAAAGCAACTATTGATATACATAACATGGATGAATCTCACAAACGTCACAGGAGAAGGAAAGCTGTGGGACTCCATTCGTTTGCAGTCTGCAGTTAAGATTCATCGTAAGACAGGGAGGCCTTGGGCGAGCCTTGGACACAGTCCGGGAGGGAGACTGGCTAGGGAGGGGCTGGGTGGTGAGGAAAGTGCTCTGTATCGTGACTCGGCTGTGCTACTCAAGCGTATACATCTGTCAAAACTGTAAAATTAAATGTGTGCCTTTCAATGCCGTTAAAGTTTACTTGAAAACAAACAATCCAAAAGAATTTTAAAAGAAAATAATCAGGTTGGGGGGTGGGGTTGGGTGAAGATAAGAATGCAGAATGTCGGCATTTGCTGAAATGCTGAAACTCGGTGACAGGGAGCTACCTGGGGTTCATTACACTTGTTTGTTTTAACTTTTCCATTATACAAAGTCTCTTTTCCCCCTCTAAGGTCAAGACCAAAGACAAAAGAAGACATGGCTCTGTCAGGAAGCAACTGCTCGTCTGAGTGCCAACCAATAAGGATCTCTTCAGGGCACCGAGGCTGCTCCCCGCCCCTTGTTTTCATTCCACCTTGCCGAGGAAAACAGTGGGCTTGGTGTCAGAGGACTTCCAACCTTGGTAAGCAGAGACAGACCGCAGTCCTCCCCTCCTAAACCCTCAGCTGTGAGCCCACCAGCAAACACCCCCACCCACCTGCCCAGCCGTCGTCAGCATCGGTGTCCAGGTCGTCAAGGCCCCGCAGGTTCTCCGCATTGATGATGGTGGGCCTCGGCGCCCGTTCCACCAGCTGCCTCAGCGGACGGATCGGGCGAGTCATTCCCAGCCTGTTTTCTTTTCTGATGAGAGAGAGAAGGGTAAAGATGCTGGACTCGTGTCAAGTATACATACGGAAGCAAACCCAAGTACTTTTCCAAAACTAAATCCTACACTGCAAAGGTTCATGTGTGCCCTTAATATTAAAACCGTCTCCTTTTTAAAGAACACACAGTGAACAACTACATCCTCGAAAGAAGTTCTGCTTCATTCTGCAGTTTTATATGCTCAGGCTAATGTCTAGGGTAGCAGCAATAAACACATGCCAAATCTTCACCTGCCAGGAACCTGAAATCTCTTGTCCTGCCCCAGCCTTCTCACACTCCCTGGGTCTTGAGCTGGCTTCTCTGAGGTCTCCAGAAGACTAAGCACTTTCATATGTAAGCCCACTATCTTGTCCAGTATCACCAACCAGGCTAATTTCTACATACGTGACTATAATGCAATAACCTTACCCGTCTTGGTCATTCATCTGGAACTGTCTAAAAGGAACACGGGGTTCAAGACGGAGCTGGGGAAGGGGAAAAGATCCTCGTTCCACTGTACCCTGGTTCTCTGATGACTGTGGCGAACACATCTGAAACATAACATCAATGAACAGGGTTTTCTGGTAATGACCCAGATTCTAAGTTGCACTTGCATTAAAATTTGTTTTGGAAAATGGAAAATGGGAAAAAGAAACAGGAAAGTCTTGGGGTTTTCCAATTAATCCTATCAATCACCATCTCCCCCATTTCTTTCCTGCTGTCAGTATGCAAATCTGGGGACCTGTGCCTTGGGGGAATATACCTGCCTCTCCTTCTTCTAAAGAGCTAAGGCTAAGATAACATCCACATCACCAGGGAAAGAAGCCAGAGGCCCTTAAGATTTGAAAAGAAGGAGAGAAAATGCAAAAGTAATGGAAGCCTCCAAAGTAGGGTATCAGGGCAAAGAAACTGGGAGGGAGAACCCAAGGTGGACATTCAACCACGTGAAGTAGGTTCTGCTGGACATGAACAATCGGACCTCATGGGGAAAAAAATGCACACTCCGAAGACTTACAAAAGCAGGAAGCATGTCATGGTATGTAGGTGGGTGGTATACATTCCCCATGAACTGTGAAGCCCCTTTTCGGACAGGCTGAGCCGGGCGGAGAGAGGGGTCCTTAGAATCGCTGGTACATGACGAGGAGGGGGCTCCGTCTCCCGCACTCGAGTTCCTGCTGCCCAGCTCAGTTGGGGAGGCGCTCAGAGACGTGGCAGAAATTATGTTTCGCCCACCGCCCTCCCTCCAGCTTGTCACATCTGGAAATTGAAAGGGGGCAAAAGGGGAGAGGAAAGAGGAGGGGGAGGAGGGATTGTATGAGGTTCTGAAGGTCAAGGGACCCCCCTCACTCACCAAAAAATTTTAAAAAAATAAAAAAAACAAAAGTGAAGAATCCAGTCGACTGGTCAAGTCTGTCAGGGAAGGTGGGGGGCAGACACCTGGCCAATGAATATGAACTTGCTGAGGGAGTCTGACTGTCAGAGAAACACAAAATAAGGTCCACTCAGAGAGAAGGCAAGTGTCAACGAGACGTGGTCTTCATCGACTCTCAGAAACTACACAACCTCAGACCTGACACTCCAAAGAAACCAAGACGGCCCCAGTGAAAGCAGCCTTGGGTCATTTCTTCCACAATCATGCTGACCCCAACAAGACCAGCACTGTGCTCAGCACTGGACTGGACTTTAGAACCAGAGAGAGTTCCGGACACGTGTTCTAGCTCCATTCAGCAGTGGCACCTCTAGTCAGAGACTCCCCAGCTGTGAAGTAAAGCAGAGCTGCTCTCCCCTCTCCGAGAGGGGGCTGGAAGGGTCTGGGGCCCTACCCACCGGGCCTCACCCCACCTGCTCTGGCAGCGGCCTGTGGGGCCCTCCCACAGGTCACAGATTGAAACCTGCCAACCCTCTGTGACCATCTTTTTAAGATGAGGCTTTCCACTGCAAATGTAGCAAAGCCTGGTGGAATTCAGAGGCCAACGAGGAATCAGATGAGCCAAAAAGACTCCTCTTTCCAGTCAACTTGTAGTTAGGAGTTGAAACAGGTCCCTGAGTACCTGACCCCTAAGAAAATGGAACCCAGGACCGGAGCCGCAAGGTCACAGACTGCTCCCAGCTCTTCAGGTGCCTCGTGCGTGATCTTGGCCAAGCCCTGGTCACCCCTCAGGCCATCTGCTTCTTCATCTTCTCAAACGAGGAGATGGGAGTGATCCCAGAAGCTGCTTCTACTTCTAAACGGTTATAATCCTATAGCAGCTCATCTTAATTAATCCCAGAAAGTTAGAGTTCCTGGCCTAAGGAATTTGATTATGTATTTGGAGCAGCCAAAATACCCCAGCATAGGCCGCTGAAAAGGCCGTATGTTTTATGAGAGCTGCACGGTGATTGTTTCATTTATAGGATATCTGTTCTCACTTTGGGATACCTTGGGGATTAATCAAAACAAGCAGATAAAAGTCTCTCATATTTCAAAACCTGATCAACTCCCCCCCCAAGGGCTACTTCAGAATCCGTGATTAGAACAGATGGAAAAATCCCATTCCTAAACAACACCTTGAATACTAACCACCCAAGACCACGAAGAAAAAAATAGTACCAGTGAGAATTGCTACACAATCCTGCTGACCCCTTGGCCAGACCCCAGATGAGGGGTCGTGGAGGCTAGTGCTGGGCCGGCTACTCAACCAGGGGAACGTGTTAAAAAAAAAAAACCAGATTCTAATTTGGCTGGGGATGGGCGAGGGTTGGAAATCAAGACTTTTTAACAAACGCCCCAAGTGATTCTGACAGGATTCAGCCAAGTTTGGGAGCCGCTGGTTAGAAAACAAGCTCCTGAGTCGGGAATCAAGTTAACTGACCCTTGGTCTGTCTGTCCTCGCCGTGACCACCCAGGCACAGCAGAACTAACATCTGATGCCTGCTGGGAAGGCGGACAGGCCTGGCCTGACCCAAAGGACAAGAAAGGAGGAGCAACCTCCAGCCCAGCCCAGGGAATAAGTCCAGCAGACGCATGGATCAGGTGCAGGATCAACGGGCGTGCTTTCCAGGCAGGGAGCCTGGCTCCTCGAGAAACGGCATGCTTCTACGAGGGCTGAAAGACAAGGGGAAATTCTGCTGTTCCCGTGGGTGCCCAGACAGGGGCTGCAGTTCACTTACTCTGAGGGCGGAGGCTTGGTCCTGGCCCATACGACAGATCTAAGACGCCCTTTTCTTTGCCAGCCTTGTCCTGCCCTCCAGCTGCTTTCAGCGTCGGAAATTCCTCGGGAGAGAAGGATAATAGTCGGCTTGAGGCCCTTAAACCTGTCAAGAGAATTGGGAAGACGTGTGGAGCAAGTGAGATGGGCATCAACAGCTCTCTGCTTTACCAACGGCACACGCTGGCAGCCACGCTGCCCTGAAGGGAGCTCCTTCCTGGGGCGCTGTCTGCGCTGGCCTTCTGTGCCCGCAGAGTGGCACTAGGGTTCCCTGACAAAGGGAGGCTGCCCGCAGACCGCACCAGGTCCCTTGCCAGCCACCCTGCAGGAGCTGGTCACAAAGGGCAGGGGGTAAGGTATGGCAGCGGTTCCAGCCCAGATCCTTCCCTCCCACTCCTGGAAGAAGGCAGTAAGGTCCTTCCAGTGGCCCTGGGGGGCGGATAAGCACGGTCTTTGGTGAAATCAGCCCAGTGAAGCCAACTGCTTTTGGGTGGAGGTAATGCCCTGGCCCCCAACGCCTCCACCCTAGATTTACACCCTCACCCTAGATTTATGCCTCTTCGTCTGTCCACTCCAGTTGACTATTTTCTACAGAGATCCTCAAGCCCTACAAGACCAAACATTTCACTCTTGCGATCTGGGAACAACTTCTTTGTTCTTTCATTCGTTCCCCTACACTATGAACTCTGCAGAGAAGAAGCCTTTTCTTAACTTTGTTCCAATCACTCACAGCACTTAGCACCGGGAACCTGCAATCGTCTTTTCAATGAATAGATAATAATAAACGATGCATTTTAGGGTCTAGAGTGGGATTTGGTCCCTCTCCTGGAATACACAGCGCGTGTCCAGCACCACACAAACTTAATAACAGCAACATCACACAGTAAAATGTCCAACTGTGACATGCTTTGATCCCTAGACAATACAGCCAAATCTGTCCCTAGGTATTACTGATCTGAGGACCTGCTAACTCAGGCAGACTTTGCCGGAAAGATGCAGCAGGGATTAGTGCAGATGCACAAGGCGGTGATTCATCCACCATCCCACTTAGTAAAAAGGTCCAGGGTCAAATGAACATGCCGGGGGGATAACTGGACACATTATTAACCAATGATTAACCTGAGAGATAATCGCCAAGTGTCGCAAAGGAGCACTACTGCTCACATAGTTGCTTCATTATGTTAAAAGGTCATTGGCAAGAATGAAATACGAAAGTCTTGCTTTTAAAATATGGTAGAGGGACTTCCCTGGCGGTTCAGTGGTTAAGACCCCGCGCTTCCACTGTAGGGGGAGCGGGTTCCATCCCTGGTCGGGGAACTAAGATCCTGCATGCCGTGCAGCGCGGCCAAAAGAAAAGAAAAAAAGGAGATAATTTGAAGTTAAAAAACAACAGTAACAACAACAGCAAATGCCTAGTACTTTTTTTCTGCCTCAACAGTCATGAAGGTATTATTCTAATCATGAATTAAACTTACCCTCCACAGATAAAAAAGATAAAGTGAAGAACTCAAAATCTCAAACCAAAGTAGTAGTATTCCTAAGGTTTGAACACCCTGTAATGTTCACCCACCAATCCCTCCTACCATCTGTTCTCTGCCATGAGAAACTGAGGCAGTGAAATCAGGGGCTTCTCTGAGGCCCCAGATGGAGCCGCCGGTGGTGCTCTGGCAGCAGAGCCCACGAGCCATGTGCCTCTGGCCTCTGCCTGAACCACACAAGCAGGCCTCCTGGGCCTGATCCAAGTGAAACAGACCAAACGACCACCTTCTACATGGAGAGAGTCTGTCAACTCAGGAAGAACCCTTCTGAGTTCCAAAGAGTCATGAAAATGTTTGTGGGCCACACCCCCAAATCCCACAGCCCTGGTGGCATCGCGGGCTTGTGACCCCGGCATAGGAGGGGAACCAGAAGCCGGGTTCCCGCCCCGGCCCCACCTGGTCGGCACGTGTCTGTTCTCTCCTCTTGGGCTACTGGGCTCTGCCGTCTCCCAGACGAGCTATCACATGTTTACAGAGTATTTTACTGTGTTTTAGGATTATTTTCTAAATCAAGTTTTCTTTTGATAGGTAATACAATCAAAAGGTTCAAAGGTAAAAAGCCTTAAAAGAGCATAAACAGAAGCCTACCTCCTACCCTCGTGCCCCATCTGCCTACTTCAAACACCCTCACAAAACAGGTAGTCTTCTGTTTCGTTCCTTCTCTCCCTTCCTCTTATGTTTCCTTCCAGAGATTTTTTTTTAATGCGCATACAACATTTTTAGAAGCATACTTTCCCTCTCCCCAGTTGTTTGCACAAATGGTAATATACTCTGCGTACTATTCCACACTTTTTTTCACTTAAGAATATGTCCTGGAGATCTTGCCAGATCGGTAGAAAACTGCTTTTTTTCCTTACAGCCAAGTAGTATTTCATTAAAGTACCATCCTTTGACGCACATTTCAAGGGACTGTGTCCAATCTTTTGCTATTACAACGTTGCAATGAATAATCTCGTGCATGTCATTTCACACAGCTGTAAGTATCATCTACAGGGTGATTTCCTCCAAGTGGAACCTCCAGGTCAAAGGGTATTCGTGCTGGTGTGTGACGGGCAGTGCCAATTTACACTAGTTTTTTTTAATCTCTGTAAGTTCTTGTTAGATTAAAATGAATATTCCATTTACTTAAGGAAATTGCAACCTTATGGAAATGAAGGCTATAGAAAGCAAAGAACCACTGTTAACAGTCCAGTGAATCATCTCCGTCATGCCTCCGTGAAGACCTTGCTTCCCGTCTGCAGTGCCTTGTTGCATCCCCGCCCCACCTGGCCCCGCTCACCCTCCAGGCTGGGGCAGCCAGCTGAGCTCCCCCTGCCCTTTCTCCTCTAGGCGAGCTGCGGCTCCAAAGCCCCCGGCACACCTTCGGGCTGAGGAAGGGGTGGGCCTTCAACCGCACAGCGACCGGAGGCTAGAGGGGCCCGTCCTTGGGGCATCGGAGTGGCAGGGGTGTGTGGGGAAGGTGGCACACGGAGCTGGTTTTCTACTCTAAGCCATACAACGTAAAGTCTGGCCAGGCCTTGGCCAGCAGGGATACGCAGAAGACAGAGGGCAGTGCCGGGACAGGAGCCAAGGGTAAAAAAGGCAGCCCGTGCTGGTTTACAGAAAAAAAAGCAACTGCGGTGTAGCCACTCACACCACCGTCCCTCTCCATCCAGCTTGGGGCGCCGCCCAGCGTGCTCTGCACAGTGTGCTAGAAATACGCACGCCTACACTGGGAAACCAGGAGAGTTCATGTAGAAGAATCTGGGTTTTTGGCTCCTCTCAAGAACACCCGTGGACCCTGGGCCCACATTCTCAAAGGGCTCTAGATGCTGGAGGGGAGCCAGATTTCCCTCTGCCCCAGCGCCCCTCAGCCATGCCACTCGGGGGCCGCTCTGCTCTGGGCCTGCCTTGGAGCCATTTCAGTCTGTTGCTCGGCATTCACTTAAAACTCGGGATGCTTTCCCCTTCCACTCACCCCACATCGGCTGTGCAGAACCACTGCAGCCGTCTGAGTCCCTGTGTCAGGCGGGACACCAATGGTAACAAATACCACGCAACCTCCGCATGCTCTGGTGTCACTGCCCAAAAGCAAGCAGTTCCCGAGGCTGCTGATGTGCAAACCCAGGTACAAAACCAGTGCCCCGCAGGCAACACCTCCTCCCTGGGGGCTGGGGACTCGCTCCAATGGCGGCTCAGCCGACGAGGGAGCCCAGGGCCAGCGCCCGGTCTCTCCGCACACCTCGGGAGGGCTGTCCTTAGCAATAATGTTCAGTGAAACCAAAGAGCTGACGTGCTCTGCAGAATCAGCACTTCCACCGCCGGGGCAAAGGCAGTAACTCGCTCTGGGAGGAGAGTCCACAAAGCTGCAAGCCGAAGACTGCCTGGACAGAACTGGAGCAGCCCAGAAAAGGCACACCTCCCTCCCACCCGCCCACCGCCACGCCACACACACACTTACCACCTTCGTGTCCTGCTGGCTTTCCATTCAGCTGTGCCCATGACTTTGGTCCACCTGGCGCTGAATTTGTATTCTGAAAGAAGGAAGACAATGAGAACAGGGTCTGCGGTCCACTCCCTGAGCGAGTCAGAACAAGGTGCCCTCGGACCCTCACCTGAGGTCCAGACCCTACACTGATGTACCCACCACCACCAGCGGGGTAAGGTCCAACCACGCGGGCTTTCCATGCAGCCTCCCACTCGGGCAACAGTCCAGGGTCAGGACCCACGGCCACATGACAGACGAGGGGCAGGCCGGAGGGCGAGCGGCCAGCTCAGGGTCCCACGGCAGAGCCAGCGGTGCGCTCGGAACATGCTGCCAGGCTGCCCCTCATGCCCACACAGAGCTACTCTGTCTTGCTCCAGGGACAAGACCAAACCCCAATTCTAGTGTGTCTGAAAAACTGGGTGGCGCCGCTAACAGAACACACGCGCGAGAAGGCTCACGTGCCTGACGAGTCGCTGGCCAGGCGGCAGCACCACTTTCCACAATCACTGCCGTGCCACAAGGCACCACTCCCCAGGCGCGCGGCCTTCCGCCTCCACTCATCTGGGCTTGCCCGGCTCGGCTCACCTCTGCTGAAAGCTCACCGCACGCCAGGCACGGTGCTAGGCACACCTGGGTCACTTGGGTTAGACACTCAGCTAGTGAGGCGGGACCAGGACTTGTCCCCACCCTGCCCACGCCCAAAGCCCCTTCAGGTCCCCAACCACTGAACTCAGCTGTCTTCCCAACAACATGCTACTTAACAACCGAAGGTAAAGATACACAAATCCAAGCTGATGCAGCATGACGTTCCATCACTTACTGGACTAGATCCTGGATAAACAGTTACCCCTTCCCATCCTCCCCCTGCCTCTGCCGCCACACACACTCAAGGCAGACAGCTGTCTCTCTTGCCTTCGATGCAGAGCTGAGTAGGCGCAATAACGCATGTATTTATCACAGACTTGCCCTGAGTGCTTGACCTGAGAGGCCTGGAACGCCCAGGGTCCCCCGTGCAGACCACACAAGGGAAATGCCAGCACCGTGACAGGGGCAGGGCAGCCCCTGCTGGGAAGGGCGAGGCTCCAGACCAGCGGGAAGCAGGGGGCCCCAGGGCACTGCCATCCCACAGCCTACGGCTCGGGGTCTGCAGCCAAGCCTGAAGCCACAGGGATGGCCCCCACCCTCACCCCCGGAAGAGAAGGCCTAGGGGCCACGAAGGCGTTAACAACACTGTGGCAAATCTCACCCCAAAGCTGGGAACCACCGGGGGTCTCCTCCCAACACCGTCCCCGCACGAGAGGAGAGCTGGTAAGCGCCAGGCGGAGGGCCCGCGTGCCAGCTGCAGGACAGGGCCCGACCCGACCGCAGTCCCCGCGGCACCCGTGCTCCACAGGTGCCCAAGCCGCACGCAGGCCCGGCCCAGGCCTGTTTGTCTCTAACAAGCTTGGAAGGTGAGTCTGACGTAGAGCCAGGGCTGTAGAAACAACCAGGGCTCCAGAAACAACCAGGGCTCCTTAATCGCACTCAGCTTCAAATTCTGGGAAACAGATACGAACTCCACACTACATGCTCTGACTGATCAGCAGGTCCCAGTGGATTTAGGCCAATGAACATGCAGTCTCGCATGAATGTGGATTTCTTCTTGCTTCTCCTTTAATTTCAAAGCACAGTTCAGTGTTGGGCAGGGAGGGTGTCCCTCTGGTAAAGCCATAAGCTTTCCCCGCAGATGGGGACGGTACCTCGGTCCTTCTACTGCCCAGGCAGCAATGCAAACTGAGTCATTCTTTCAAGGGAGCCAGTGAACGCCAGGTATCTGTCTAGATTTTTTCTGGTCTTCTAAAAGATTCAGACACCTTGCCTAGATTTCTAGCTACCAGATACCGGCCTCTGTACCCACAGACAGACACCAGTGGGCCAAGTAGGATATGAGCTCTTGATTAAATCATGACTCTGTTTAGAGGCGTATGAAGTGCAGCAACAAATAAAGGATCACAGCTTGGTATTTCCCACAGCATGCTCTGAGAGACACTAGTCTCTAGAGACGTTCGACGAAAAGAGGTTTCCAAGGATAAATACATTTCGGGACCGCTGTCCATGATGTCCTTTTCTCGGAGACTCACAGGACACATTAGCATACTGAAGACACCGAGAGAAAGTATGACATTAAGAAAGCCAAGCAAAGGAGCTGGCTTCATTGTGTTTTCCAAACTCATCAGACCACTGAACCTTCTGTAGCCTAACACCTGCTGTCTCCTTTTGACACTTGCTTCCGGGGAGACACTGCGGGGGGCCCGATCTAGCCTGTAGCTGCCAGAGTGACTCACCTCAAGCTAAGGCAACTGGAATCAAATTAGGCGTCTATGTTCTATTCTGCATCTGGGGTCTTTCTCAAGAGTCACTCATCAGGTTTGCCTCTGGAATGAGCACGTCACGCAGAGCCACGCTTCTCAGCGACAGCTCCCATCGGTCCCCAGCGCCAGGGAGCTCAGAGGCGCCGACGCCTAGGCAAGCATCGGGACCGGGTCCCCAGCACCTACCTCCTGACTGATCGACTGTGTCGGTTTCTGCAAATTGGAGACAGATTTCTGCAAACCCGGCTGCGGCAGCAACTCCGGCGGCTGAGAGGCCGTCGCACTGGAACTAGACAAAGGCAGGACACACACAGGAATTAGACAGGCACCGGCCAAGCCCACAAGGTCCCTCCACATTCCCGAGAGACACGGCTGCTCGCTGGCTGGGAGCAAGACCTCCTCTGGCCAATAAAGATACCTTCCCCGGCGGACTCCTAGGCTGGCCAAGGCAACGAGAAACTGGACCACCTGTGAGGTCTGCCCACCGACGCCTGATAGGACAGGCCAGCCCTCTGCCTTTCCACAGAGCCTTCTGTCTGCGAAGACTGAAAGCTCACGGCCAACAACGAAGTGATGGAGGACATGTCACGAGGGAGACTGCGTCGGGACAGGGAATGGGCTCTGAGCTCCCGCCCCTCGCTCCTGACCAAGAGCTCACAGCTCCTCAGGGGCTGATCTCTTTGAAGCATGAGCAGATTTTTTTTTTTTAAACCTTCTCTTGGCTTATAAAAGAAATATATGCTCATGATAAAAATAAATAAATACATGTAACACAGAATTTGTCACGATCTCATCCTCCGGAGAGAAACTCAAGCAGATTTTTCTACGTATATTAGCATAGCATTTTGTAACACAAGTAGGGTAACACCATACACACAGTCCAGCAACTCGTGTTTTACTCAATGCCCTTGACATCTTTTTGTGACAACACACATGGATCTACTGCTTTCTTTTAATGACACAGTACAGGTGGATGGGCCACAATGTGCCAACCTCCAATTTTTCTTCTATTACAGATAAAACTGCAATGAGCATTTTTGTGTACACATCTTGGCACACTTGTGTGTACGCAATTCAGTAGTCTAATTGTGTTCAGTAGTTCTTAGAAGTGGGACAGCTGGATCAAAAGACGTTTTAAAGTTTAAAAGATACCGTGGAGCTACCCTCCAGCAAAGGTGCGTCTGTCGATCTATACCCCACAAGTCATATTCTGAGAGCAATAAGAAAGGGTTCTGAAGGAAGATTTCTGCCAACTTGCAGCCTTCCAGTCACTCGTTCTGTTCAACCTTCCATGCGACGAGCTTCAAGGAGGACAGCAATCCCCTGGCCAGAATCCACCCAATGCCGGTGGCTCAGCTGAAGGCAAATTCTACACACATCCAAGGCTTACTCAACCGAGTAACTCACCACCTGTGATTATTACACAATGAAGGCCACTGACCCTCCTCTCTCACATCACCTTCTACCTGAAATAGATGCTTCCAGGTGGTGTCACTTCTGTGGTCTCCAAACACTGAGTCCCAGCAGGTGTGGCCCCCCTACTCGGCCACCTCCCTGACAGCCTCGTGAGGATGTGGCCCAGGGGAGGCAGAGAAGCAGCGCCGGGGTCTGCTGCCCCCGCCAACACTCACTCTTCACCTCTGGCTGGCAAACATGCTTCAGCACACTGGCCTCGTTGAAGATGCCTGACGCTTTCGATGCTACTGGTACATAAGACTGGATAAAAGGAGGGAGCAAGGCTTTGTCCTCTCTCTCTAGAACTTTCAGTAGCAGAGGCATTTCAACGCTTACACTGAGCTGTTTGCAGCGTCTACACTTGAACAGAATGAGGACATCCGCCACGTATCACCTCTGTGCCAGGCCCTGTGCTAAACACGTGACTTGGGCAAATCTCATCCATTTCCTGTAGCCACCCCCGGAACCAGGTGTTATTTGTACTTCACAGGAGGACAATGATGCTCAGAAGTCAAATAAACCAGGTCCCATAAATGGCCTGGCTGGAAATCACACACATCTGTCCAGTTCTAAAAGTCACACTATACCGTCAATCAGGATGATCCCTAAGCCAACGGTTAGGAACTGTCTTAAAATTTCAGTTATTACTGATCATCTGAGCGAATTATTGGCTCACTCTCTACATATTGTCTGAAGTAACTACAGAAGTTTTACAGAAGCTATTGGCCACTTCCAATTAGAGAAAAGGACCCTGGCTGGCAGGCTGTGCTCTGGGCCACTTTTACTTTCTGGGTCCTGAGTATCAATCAGCAGCCAGACCACAGGGGAAACACAGGGCAGGAGAGGGTATGAGGCTGGACTGCTCTGTTTTCACGGCCAAGCCCAGCAGCAGGGCTCTGCCTGCCAGCCTCAGAGAGGCCCTGTCCTTCCCCAAACCCCTCCCAGCGCAAACCCCAATCCTCTTTCCTGGACACCCTACCGCTGGCTGGAACGCAGCCGGGCCACGGGCCACGGAAGGAGGAACGAAGGCTCAGGCGGCACACTCGTGCTTTCAGCGCCACCACACAACCTCCCTCTAATGATGATCTCTGTGCCAGATCCCGGGCCTCCTAAGGCTCCCGTAAGTGCTGTGCCGGCAGAGGGTGGGCCTGCAGGGAGGCTGCGCGCTGACCCCGAGTGCCTGGACTGGGGCGGCTGTCCTCGTAACTGAGTCCTACAGAGCATGTGCAGACACCTGTGTGGGGCGCTGCTGCCCCAACAGCTGGGACGGCTCCACCTTCTCTACCTGGGGCCCAGCACCCAGGGACCCCAACCAGGTGAAGCACTCAGCTCTCCCCACAGTGGCTCCTCTGGGAGAGGTGAGCCCTTCTTAACAAGGCACAGGGGACACTGGTCACCAGGGAAAGGCAGCTCACAGAAGCACTGTTGCATCGGCTCCCAGAGCCAGGAAAAATGAAGGCAGGGAGCAAGAAACTGCTAAGTAGCAGGAGTCGGGGTGAAAGAAGCTTCCTTTGGAACCTGCCCAGTTCTCCAGAGCTGCCCCTGCAGGAGGAGAGGGGGCCGGCCACGGACGCAGCTCCAGCTCCCGGCCCTCCGCCCGCCCCTCTGCTCTCACCTCTTTGGGTCTTGCTGATCCTGCTTGTTTGCCCATCCCGTCCCGTCCTTGGGTACTATAACGATGTTGGGGTCGTTTCCTTTGTTTTCAGACTTCAAGCTTGGCAGGTTTGCAGGCGGTGGCATACGCCGGGCTGTGGCAACTTTCCCGAGACTCTGTAAGCCATGTCTAGGAATAACTGTGTGGAGGGAGAGGTGGAAAGATATGTTGCACAGAAAGTCATGGAAGGAAAGATGCCGGGTTCATTCAGCTGCTCTTCCAAACTCTAGAGGATAATGACAGAGGCAACCAAACAACAAACAAGGGACAGACCCGCCACGCAAACACACAAAAAGTGCTTGGTGGTCACTTGTAGTCAGTCCTTTTACAAGCCCTTCACCGAGGACTTCAGAGACACAGGAGCTGCTGAAGTCTGTGAGGAGGCTTCCAGTTTGCTCGCGGGCAGAAGGCTCAGGGCGTTTAGGACATGGGGGAGGGGCCAGGCCTAGAAACCTCCATCCCACAGAATGACTAGCCCTGTGCAGAGGGGAGACTGCTCTGGCCTCGTTACAGCAGGACCGAAGGGACAGCCTCGCCTAGACCCAAGCCAAGCCTGAGCAGGGCCCCCGGCATTCATAAAATTCTCAAGGGGTGTGGACAGAATCAACAGGAACTTACCCCGCCAAGCTCCGGAGTATTAGAACCATGAAACCTAAAGGGGTAACTAACTCTAATGCAAATTAAATTCCATTCTGCCCATCGGGCTCAAAATATCCATGGCTTCAATAAGATAAGACAGAGGAGGAAATAATCCTAGCACAGCAGTCAGGATATTCCAGGCTCTGAAATCATACATCAATTAGGAGCAGAGGGGGACGTGTTTCCCCTGAACTACAGGATGACCTCCACGTGCCCAGCAGACTGGTCTGCATGGACCATTCCTGTCTGACCAGACAGGGGACTCTAGGTTTTCCTGATCCTTGACCTGGAGCTTCTCGCTTAAGGGAAAGCGTAAGGAACGGGCCTCCAACCCCCTCTCACCTGAGGGTCTGGCCGAGTCTACTGACTTTCCTTGACGCTTGTCAAACAGGCTGAGGGTCGGGTACCTGCTTTTCCCATCCTTGCCCTTGGTTATCTGCCCCAAGCGATCGGACATTGCGATGAAATGTCATCTAGTAAGGAAATTTTTCTCGGCACCGCTCCCGATCTGCCTTTGAAGTGGGGGGAAAAAAAAACAAAAAGAGTGTTAATCCACCAGAACCTCTGATCCAGTGGACGGAATCGTTCAGGGCTCACGGATCTCCTTAAAGATCTGAAGAACGCTTTGGACGGACTCTGTCCCTAGAAAGTTGCCCTTAGCGCGCACGGGCAGCCTTGCTCACATTTAAAGAGCAACGCTAAGAACCCTCCCTGCCTGAAAAGCAGCTGACTCTTATCACTCACCAACCACACTGAGATGTAAACTTCTGCACACCGAGTCTGCTCCCTGAGTCAAGGACAGCTCCGCAAGGTGGAAAAACAAATGCTCGCCCCTTGTAGCACATCCGCGTCACATCGAAAATAAGGTCGTCCTTATGGAAGGCTACTGTCCATTTCAAGGATGAGCAAACCCAAAGCAAAGGGAAGCACACAGTCAGGAAATCACCCAGGAACAGCCGGGTGCAGGTACCTTTCACACTAAAGGACCAGCACTCCGAGATGCAGACGGGGCAAACAGAGAGCAGGCCTCCCGGTGCAGAGCCCCCGCGGCTTCACCATCCACTCCTGCCTTCCACTCAGAGAACGTCTTGAAAAACCGACCAAGGAAGAAGCTTTTCCCCTCTGCCACCTTCTAACTTTCTACAGGCTCCTCTAGGAGCACTTTCCTCATTCACTTCCTCGCTCATCCATTTCAATACTCAGTAAGGCCACGTGCCAGCTCCAGTGCCTTTTATTCCACCCTCACCCTTGGCCTCACTGGCTCTAAACTTGACCATGGAAAACTAAAACTTGTACAAGTGACCATTACCTCCCATTAGAATTAGTGTATGGAAAAGAAAGCTAAAGCACCAGTTTGGGCATGTCGGTAAAATGACAGGACGGAGGTAACTGTGAAAACATCCATGACTCATAACAGGCACTTGGTGCAGCTGCAGCACGAAGGTCTGTCATTTGATCCTATTCTGAAGCCACGCCGGCCAGAAGAGCACATCCAGTGAGCTGGGTACATCCATCCTTTCATTCATTTCACATGAAACCTGATACTCAAGACCCGCTGGTCACTGTCTCAGGTACAGGAACAGATAAGCACGCAATGTGTATCCGGAAACACTCAGGCACCTCAATGGATGCCTAGGGGTGAGCGTCCTGAGCTGCACAGGATGTGCAGGGGTCACCTACCAGGTGCAGCAAGAGCCAGCCAAGGGAGAGGCTCACGTGCAGCACCCAATCCCCAGGAAGCGAACCACACTGCAGTGTCCAGGAGACAGGGCTCCACGAAGAAACAAACCAGCAGAAACGCTCAGGTGCTCGCCAAGTTTACACGTGAGAGCACTCGATGCCAGCCACCCTCCCCAGTGCCTGCCTCACGTACCAGGAGCAAGGAAGAGCGATGACAGGGAGGGAAACCAGCCAAAAGTGTCCAAATTCGAGTTCTGATGCCAAGGGTTCCAGGACACACCCCTTTATCTTTAAATCTCCCTCCCCGAAGCTGGATCCAGTGAGTTTCTGCCAAAGTCAGAACTAGTAATAACCTCCCCTGGCTGCTTCCCCCGACTGGGCTGTAAGCCCCTCCTCCAGGAAAGGGACTGTATCGTGTCTGTGTCAGACCAGTAATTAATAGGCTTTCAAATGGAAAACAACCTGAACTTCTCCATTAAGACTAGATGAGATCTTAATTTTAGACACTTGTCATATCAAACCAACAGAAAAGATCACTGGGGTAGGAACATGAATCCCTCCCAATACCCATGGGCACACACACATTCCACTATGAACAAAAGCCCTTGAGACTGCCACCAAGGTGACGGCCACACGTGGCCCCAGCCTGCACAGCTCAGTCTAAAACAGGGGCTGGCAAACACCAGTCAGGGTCCCAGCCAATGGCCTGTTTTGTAAGGCCCTCAAGCTAAAAATTATTTGCTTTTTTACATTTTTCATACTGCTTTTAAAGAAACAAAAAATATGCAACAGGACAAGTGGCCTGCAAACTTGCTGACTCTGGGTGTAAAAGGAAAAGCCTTAAATAAGCACTTTTGAAGGTTTCCAGGTGGGAAATGTATGGGGCAGCCTGCGAGGGCAGCCCTGAAGAGGCCCTACAGCTCCAGCGGGGGTCCAAGGAGGGGCTCCGGCAGAGGGATGGAGTCTTTTATTCATCCATAGGAGACCATTCCATGGGCTATAAATGGGATACTGAGGGACTGCTGGCACTCTTTACAAACTAGTGTGACCTGCTGAATAACAAAAACGTTGACGTCCTAATTCCCAGAACCCGAGAATATGTCCCCTTCTCAGGCAAAGGTGTGATGAAATTAAGGATATTGAGCTGGGGAGATTATCCTGGATTACCTGGGTGGGCTCAAGGTAATCACAAGGGTCCTTACAGGAGGGAGGCAGGAGGGTCAGACCCTAAGCGGTTGACAACAGTAGCACAGGCCGGAGGGGTGCTCTTTAAAGTTGGAAGAGGGCCACGAGCAGAGGGATGCAGGCCGCCTCTAGAAGCTGGAAAAGGCCAGGGAACGGATTCTCCCCCAGAGCCTCCCCTAGAAGGAGCCCAGCCCAGCCGACACCTCGATTTCAGCCCAGCAAGATTCATTTCAGACTTCTGACCTCCACAACTCGGAGAGAACACATCTGTGCTGTTTTCAGCCACGAGATTTGTGGTAATTTGTCACAGCGACCACAGGAAAGTATTACAATCGTTTATTCAACACGTTTTTACTAGGCAGGCACTGTCATGTGCCCAAGCCCTGAGCTGGGACTGGGATACAGCAGAGGATAAAATGGACACGAGCTCCACCCAAAGTCCAGCCTACAAAGATGACGGGACTCACCCACGGTCACACAGCCGATTAATAAGAAGCACGTTCCAGAATCCCTCACTTCAGCACAATGATGGAAAATGCTAACTTACAGCTACATCTCTGCTGTCTCTGACCACAACTTTCACCTGACCACTGAACCTACAAACACTTCTGAACAAAGCCAGTGATGTCTCCTTCCCAGCCACACAACTTGCAGGACTACAGATGCCGCATCATTCATTTAAATCCAGATAACTAGTTCTTTACTAAATTAAAAACCAAACCAACAAAGAGAAATAAAAATTATTCACCAGACATCCTGGGCCATCAAATTGCTACATTAAATCTTAACATGCTTGATTTTTAAAAAATTTTTTTATTGTATTTATTTATTTTTGGCTGCGTTGGGTCTCTGCTGCTGTGCGCAGGCTTTCTCTAGCTGCAGAGAGCAGGGGCTACTCTTCGCTGCGGTGCGCAGGCTTCTCATTGCAGTGGCTTCTTTTATTGCAGAACGCAGGCTCTAAGCGCGTAGGCTTCAGCAGTTGTGGCACGTGGGCTCAGTAGTTGTGGCTCACGGGCTCCAGAGTGCAAGCTCAGTAGTTGTGGCACACGGTCTTAGTTGCTCTGCGGCATGTGGGATCTTCCCGGACCAGGGCTCGAACCCGTGTCCCCTGCACTGGCAGGCGGATTCTTAACCACTGAGCCACCAGGGAAGCCCAACATGCTTGATTTTAAAAAATCAAATGTCTTATAATTCTGAAACTTGACCAGAAAAATTCTTGTTTCTATAGATACTACTAGAAAGTCTTCTTAAAATCTGTTAATCCGGGCTTCCCTGGTGGCGCAGTGGTTGAGAGTCCGCCTGCCGACGCAGGGGACACGGGTTCGTGCCCCGGTCCGGGAAGATCCCACATGCCGCAGAGTGGCTGGGCCCGTGAGCCATGGCCGCTGGGTCTGCACGTCCAGAGCCTGTGCTCCACAACGGGAGAGGCCACAGCAGGAGAGGCCCGCGTACTGCAAAAAAAAAAAAAAAAAAAAAAAATCTGTCAATCCACAAGAATGTAAATTGGTGTAGCCACTATGGAAGACTGTATCGAGATTCCTCAAAAACTAAGAACAGAACTACCATATGAGCTGGCAATCCCACTTCTGGAAATTTATGCAAAGAATATGAAAATACTAATTTGAAGAGCTACATGCACCCCTATGTTCATCGCAGTATTATTTACAATAGCCTAATGGATGAATGAAGAAGATGTGGTATACACACACAATGGAATACTATACAGCCATAAAAAAGATGAAACTGCCATTTGTGACAACATGGATGAACCTTGAGGGCATTATGCTAAGTGAAATAAGTCAGACATAGAAAGACAAATACTGTATGATTTCAACTCATATGTGGAATATAAAAAACCAAACCAACAAACAAAAAAAATAAATGAACAGACCAAAGCAAACAAAAACACAGATACAGAGAACAGAGCAATGGTTAGCAGAAAGGAAGGGGTGGGGAGAGGGCGAAATGGGCAAAGGGGATCAACGTATGGTGACGGACAGAGACTACATGGTGGTGGGCACGCACTGGGGCATACAGAAGTAGAAATATAAGGTTGTACACATGAAACATATAATGTTATAAACCAATGTTACCTCAATAAAAAATAAATCTTAAAAAAAAAGCCTGTCAGTCCAAACTTCTGCCAGTTCACTGATACAAACCGATCTTTCTCTGATTCTGTACTTCCTGGGCCCATGGGCAGAGGTTAGAGTAGACACAGAGAGCTCTCAGTGGGTTTTCCCGGTGACACCACGCTTCTCCGAACTGACCAGTCCCCACACTCACCCTCAGGGAGCACTAGGAGACCGGAGCCTAACTGTACCCCCGCTTCCCGCACCCCAGAAAACAATAAAGAAAACCCTGGCCAAGGGGCACTAAGAGGTATCAGTTGGTCAACAGCTGTCGCTTGAACTACGTCCTCTAAATAAATTCAGCCATTCAGCCAACACCTACTGAGCACCTACTATGTTCAGGGAATATGCTTTCTATTCCTTTTGAAAAGAGCCCCTCCGTGAAGCCAAAACAGGGAGCACACTGGACTAACGTCTGCAACTAAACCCATACGTGCACTTTTTGGAGGGACCCTTCTCCCACTTTTTAACCAAGTTTTGCACCTGCTGGGCACACTACTGGCCTCTCTAGACCTCAGCTTCCCCACCTACAGAACTGAGGGGCCAAGACAAGATTTCACAAATGCCAGCGGGTTCTAAAATCAAACATGTCAATGTAAACAAAAAAAGATAAAAAAAAAAAAAAACCCATGTCAATGTTAATAACCCACAGCCATGGAATCACACGACTTACTGTCAAAGCAGCCATGTCTCACCACACATCGGACTGGATCCTGTATTTCTATAGCAATCTGGGGTGCTAACAAGCAACGCTACTGAGCCACCATTGCTACGGAGACAACACCTGTGGGGAGGGGGCCTGATGGTCGATGGTCGTTCACTGCAGCGCTCCACAGTCAGACTGCACAGATGAACACCCTTCAGCCCCAGTTCTCTCTTAGAGCAGGGTGGGCAAATTACAGTCAGCCTAAAGAATGTGCAAGAGGCCAGCATGCTCCACAAAGCAACAACTATTTACTACCCGGCCCTTTACAAAGCAAGATTACAGACACCAGCCTCAGGGCATGCAAGGGTTCATTTATTAAGCCAGATTTCACTGGATACAAATCCAAAATACAAATAAGAACACTCTGGTTTCCCCAACGGTATTGCAGGTATGTACCTCCTCCAGCGAATCCGTGTCAGGTTTGGGGCCCAGCTCTGCCCCACACCCATCTGGCTACTCTGCTTGCCCCTCGGTTTTCACAAACATCAGCAGTCTCTCTCTCTCTCTCTCTCTCTCTCTCTCTCACACACACACACACACACACACACACACACACACACACACACACGCACGCACGCACGCACGCACGCACGCACGCGCTCCGCTAGCCTGTCAGATAACAGAGAGACTTGCAGGCAAACATGGGGGTGTGACTCATGAAGCTGGGGAGGCGAGGGAACACACTTCTGGGTGGGTCAGAGGCGTGTCCATCCCAGCCTGCCTCGTGGTGCCAGGATCCGGACGAGCCTGCTGAGACACCGGGTTCTGCGGGCAGCACAGACCAAGCCTGGAGCACAGCCACGGCTTTCACGCTGCTTGCTCTTCCTTTTCTAGGCAACAGAATTCATTTCTGTATTTTTTTTTTTCCTAAACAAGATCTAATTTGGAAGCTCGGTATTACATATAAAGCAGCTACGAGCCAAGGGAGCGCCGTCCCTAGTCCTGCCCCCACTGCTGGAAGCCTGCCTTCCCACGCAGCCACCTGAGGCCCTGCCTGGGCCCCGAGGCTGTGAAAATGGCTCGCCTAAAAGAAACAGGAAAGAAGGACCCCAAATCCGTGTGAAGACAGCTTTGGGGAACGAAGCAAAGGACATTTTAACACAATTCCAAGTCTGCCCGTTTTGGCAAGTCACCTACAGAAGTGCTGAGAGGCCCAGGCTCTGCTGGAGCAATACAACCAGAAAGATTCACCAACAAGGGCAACTTAGTCACCAGGCGCCGAGCCTCCAGACGGCAGGCCCAGCCGTCCAGCAGGTCACCAGACGCCTGCCCTCGGTCCACCAGAGGGAGGACCTCCCGCCCTCCAGCTTATCAAAAGCCATTTCCGAGTAACAGGATTCATTTCACTCCCACTTGGGTACCAGCCAGCGGCAGACGCCCGCCCAGCCAGGGACTCCCCGGGGAAGCGCTCCGCGCTCAAGGCAGGCCGGCACCCTGCTGACACTCACTGCCCTCCATCCTCTCGGGAAGACACTACTGTCATCAGCCTGCTTTACAGAGGAGGACACTAAGTCCCTGCCCAGGGTCACAGGCTGGAGCCTGGGCAGGAACACCAGGCCACAGAGGGGCCCTGATGTCAGGCTGCTGAGGCTCTGTCCATGGGAGGGCGAGTGCACTGGTTCTGACGCAGGGCAGCGCCAGCTCAAGGCTGCCTTCTGGGCGACTGCACGGATGACCGGACCGGACAAGCCGTTCAAAGATGAACCTTTTATACGCGCAGGTGCTGCCCACAGCCAAATTTACACCGGGGCAAACCCCGGCTTTTCACAGGTCTCCCTGAGCCCGGTAACACTTGGTCACATCACCTGCTTTCCTAAGCAGTCCTCAATCCTCAGGACACCTGGAGCCATCACCACCGACAATGAAGGACCCAATGCGAGCTCCAGCCTGGACCCCACCTCTCAGAGCGGAGGTGGTCAGTCACCGGGGAAGACCCACGAGCCACAGAAACAGCACGTTCAGACTAAGTGCCACCGGCTCGAGACACAAGCAGAAGCCCCCGGCCGGCGTGGAGAAAAAGGAAAGCGTAATCAAACAGGAAGGGAAGCTGAGAGCAGCCTGGATAAACAGGTCAGGAAACAAGCACGTGGGTCAGTAAAGGACCTGGGCGTCAGACAGTATGCTTGTCCAGTCTCAGTCAGAACATAAAGAACCATCCCCCACAAAATCTGGGTACAAGATGAATAAACAATTCCATCCTTCTCCAACACTGCCAAAAAAAAAAAAAAACACTTCAACACGGGGGACGCCCCACATCACCTAGTTCAAGTTATCAGATGTGTGCTGCCCGCTCTGTGTAGCAGACACGGGGCTACTAGCTGCTGGGGGTGTGGAAGCAACGAGACCCCAGCCTGCCCTCCAGAGCAGGCTCCAGACAGCAGCATCTCCATCACCGCCACTCAACCGCCCAGTGCTGCTGCAACCACAAACATAAACAAAGCAGCAGAGCTGGGTTCCAATAAAACTTTATTTACAACAACAGGAGTGGGGGCTGGATTTGGGGCTGCAGTTGGCTGACTCCTAGTCTAAAGGGAGAATCAGATGTGGAAAAGAATACATCACAGTAAAATGGATTCAACAAAAAGGGGTTCATGTATCCCCCTGGACTATGCCCCAGGACGAGGCAGGAGTGGGGGGTGGGGATGGGGAATCCCACCTGGGTTTGCAGGGAAGCTTCTGCACCCTCACTCAGCAACAGCATGACCAACTCCACACCTCCAGCCTCCAGGGGCTCCCTACAGGGCCCCAGTCAGAAAACCAGGGCGGCCCACCAGAAGCACAGGGCCCCACACCTCTCCAGCCCCTAGGAGGCAGGAGCTGGCCCACCTGCAAAGCTGGAGCCTGGGCCCAGGCAACCCACCTGCAGGAGCCCAGGCAGGTGAGGTTTCTGCGGGA